CACGTTTTCTATGCATTCGACGCGACCAGCGAGCCGAGTCGTTTCGTTCCTGAGGTCGTCTCAGCCGCCTTTAACACTTTCTGTATGGGAGCGTCTAAGACAATGCCGATACCTGTTCCTCGTTCAATGTTTGTTCAGGTTGGTATCGGGTCAAGATTTAGGAACTGGGCCAAGCGTTAAAATTCGAAAAGAATTCCATATATATATTTTTAGTCCTATACACATGCATCGTAAATCGGATTCTTCGCGCCAAGAAAGACATTTCAACTTCTAAACGGGACACGTGTCCTTCCGGATGACAGTCGTCAGGGATTTCGTCCAACGTCCTTGCTACGGTCTATCGATTCCCAAATGAAAGCCGATATCCACACGAACATTCTCGCTCTCAGTTATGGTGTCGGCTGGTGACACCTTTTGCAGGTTTTACGGTAACACGATTCCCGGGCAACATGATCGTCATGCGTTTCACAGCATCCCACTCTGTCCTCCATATTATTCAAGAGCGATCGAAGGTAATAGCACCTCCTTCGAGTTGGCACCAGATGAAAAAAAAAAAAAATCGAAAAAACGACGTACATCAAAATCAAGGGTGGCGATTTAATGTTCTATCGTTCAATTTAAATTTTTTCAAAAAAAAAAAAAAACGTGAAAACAAAACGTGATAGCACCCCGTATCGTTACGGCCAAAAAACGAGTAATCGACGGGGCACCCCAGTTTCCCCCTCGACGATTATAAAACCCCATATATGGGTATAACGACATCGTCCGACAAGTTAAAAATTTCAAAGGGCCTGCTGTCGACTTTTTCCACTATTTTACGCAATACCCGTACCCACGTGTGAGCAGGGAGACGCGCGAGGTACCACATGCTCATTCGCGTCACGCGTCGTCACATTGTGAATCCCACGTGCGTGTGACGAAGAATCGTGCGTTAGTAACGCGGACGATTATTAGGACATGTCGCACCTTAAGGCGCTACCACAAGGCATCAAGGTGTAACGTGAACTTGCGTAAAGGCATTCTTTAAGAAAATAGCTACTGACGAGATATCAATTTAAAATAATCAAATTCCACGCTCCGCCCCCCCCCCCCCC